GCCAGCTTCTTATGTTAAAATGAATGATTTTGAATGAGTCATTAAAAATATTGTTATCAAAATATTCACATTTTTTAATTTTACTATGATCAATGTAAGTTTACAGTTTAAAGATACTCTCTTTTCTTTGACGTTTGACATTTCTCGTGAAAATATTGGGAGAAATAAGTTCTCCAAAGTTTAAAAATAGCCCCCTTGGAACCATTTTAAAAATGTCAAATCAATTCCCCTCATTTCAGTCCTGTGAGTTGAATTCCAGCATCTCGCTTTTCTTTATTCATAGCTAATGTGTCTCAAACTAATTTACACGCTAATCTAAATTTATACGTTATTAAATCCTTGATTCTCGAAAAGTGAACAAACCAATTAAACCAATTTTCAATAATCATAAAAAATTCGTATGTGCTTCAAAAGTAAAGTGAGGTCGTAAAATACTTTCTTTACTAACGCAACGATTGGTGTTTGGTAATGCACGTAATGAGTTAAAAATCGTTAAAATATTTCCCATTTATCTGAAAGAAGGCCGAAACGTTTATAAACATCATTACTTTATTGATTTTACGTGAGCACCTCGTTTTGGGTCAAAAATTATTTGCGAGAAATAAGACAACAACAAACATATTCCGTTTTACATGATTTACAAATTTAGTAGCCGATACCTATAAAAGGACATTCGTAAATCTGTGTTTACAATATATATTATGTGAAATGATGCTTGTAATGGCAAATGCTTTCAGAAAATTGAATAAAAAATTAATTGTCAGTTGTAATAATTACCTACTTAGGTACACTAGAGTTTTTTTGTTTAGTAAATGATGTTAGTGATAGAAATTCAGTAAATGCTATCTTTTACTAGTTAATCCATTAGGAAATGTTATACATTAACGGAACTTTTATATTTTTACTAGTGAATCTTGGAAAAACCTAATAAAAACAACATTTACTGACAATAGCTGGTAAAATTTTTGTTATTGCAAAATGAAATAAATAATAAAAAACAAAAACAAACGAGTTTCATTTTACATGTTAAAATAATAAAAAATAAGTACAAGATCTAGCATCACTTCGATCCCTGTCGACCTCTGGAATAGGGACACCAACTGTGTTTTCTTTGTCAATGGATGGATTATTTATTATTATCCGAAGTTGTCTTCATACTTTAAGCTTGCTGTTCTAATCCAGCAATTGACAAACTACGTTGTTCGATTATTTTTTCTTTTTTGACCGCAAAAAGACCAAACGTTCTTGGATTTTCCACATGTGCAATGTAAGTTATTTTTACAAGAGTAAAAATATTGCCTGCTTAAAACTTCAATAAAACTCCTTGTGTAGGGGAAGGGACGGCTATTATTATTATTTGCCGTGGCGCTCCGGGGCGACTTAAGGATGATTGATGGTGCCATTTGACTTACAGGTGAGGAAAACCCGGAAAACCTCACCCACCATCATCGAGACGATAATGTATGGCGATTTTATAATCTGCATGTCATATCAATAGAAATTGAATTTTCTATTAATACGGCACACATCAAATCCTAAACCGAACCATGCAATTTAATTAAAAATCCACATGGTCTGGTCTGGGATTCGAAGCCCAGCAGTCTCGGACTCATAAACTTGCCTATAAATGAATATAAGCGCGTTAGACCGCTACATCATCGACCCGATGGTATTCAATTTTATATTTACTGAACACCCTTCTGGTAGGTAGGTAGGTAGGTAGAGGTAATGACCAATGGAGTTAACGAACAGCGTCAAATCGCCAGTTGGTTAACTTACTGTGTTGATTTTCAAATATACTTTATGTTTCAAACCTAGTAGAATGGGTGGCTTAGTATAGGTGTCCACCTTGAGCTAATGAACAGTGCCAATTTACCAGCTGATTAACTTAATAATATAATTTACCACTTTGGTTTGTATAATTTATCGAAGGTAATACAACTCTGTATGTTTCTAAAATATTGATTTTTATAATTTCTATTGAAATTACCCATCGAAAAATAGATGTATAACCTAAATGTCTCTTGAGTGAATGCCCGAAGGCCATGTGGTTTATTCGGTTACATTGATAATATTTTGAAGAAAATGTCAGACCCTCATTTAAACGAAACCCCGGTGGTATCTCAAAGAAAGCTACATCAACCTTTTTGACTCACCTTTGAAATTAGAGACATTAGGTTCGTCTGAACTAGACATTATATACGTCGCAGCATTGAGCGTCGCCTTGCGTTGAGAGGCCTAGCGTCATGGCGGAAAGCAAGGTATTTATTTCGGTACTGCGTCGGGCATATATACGGTAGGAAATACTTAGGTGGTGCGGGACGCGACATCGCTCGGGACTTAGTTACGAAGGAAAGTAGGGCGTCGGGGCTTTGAGCATCGGAATGAATATAAGGTAGGAAATATTTAGGTGGCGAGGGATGTGACAGCGTTAGGGAGGTAAAAAGGTAGGGAAATAGTGCGCCGGGATGTTGAACGTCGGGAGGTTGACATCGTTCCGGGGATAGGAGGTATGGTAGAATATACGTCGGTTAGGAAGAGCGTTGATTTAGGAAAGGTACTGACTTAAAATAATAAAATGAATGCTTGAATATAAAATAATAATGAATAAATCTCGAGCTCCTTGGGTTCGGGTATTTATACCCGTTTTAATTGCTTCTTGTGGCATCATTTTTTCGTAGCTCCGGTGGGAATGAATTTGGGTGGATAAAAAGGGTGGTAGATTTATTATGTGCCGTGATAAATTCTCGGAATTTTGTATCGAAATCTTGTTAAAATCGGTCTTAATCTTCGAAACCAGAAAGATAAACGGGTTAAGTGTTTTAATGATTTATTATTTCGTGAAAAGAAATATGTTCATAGACTTTTTTTGATTAAATTCTCATGGGATAACTTATTATCTTTTCCGTAATATTAGAGACCCGCGAGCAGAAATATTGTTTTTTTTTTATTAATTAAGCATCATAGATAGGATTTAATTATCTAAATGAAGGATTATGATATTAATAGGAATGCAACTTTTCTATAATAAAATGAAATTAGTAAATTATGAAGGTACCTGGTTACAACATATACAATATTTACTTATATATTATAGATATATAATTTGCATTTAAAAAGATTATTGAAGGTATTGTTTTAGATATTTGTTTATTCTGTGATTTATTTAAAATATAATAATGTATTTACCATATTTTAATATTTTATTGGATATATTCCGTCAACTGCTAGAAGTCAAATTACTGTGACACAACCTGTTTTTTTAAAGTTACCTCATCAATTTAATAAAATGAATTGTGATCAAGATAATTAGCAAATAATAGCATCCACCTGATTGTTAATCTAGCGAAAATATAAATAAAACGAGGCTGAAACACCATCAGATACGATCACCCATCCCTAGCACGTTTGAACTACAACAGGCAGGACCGTCGTTAGGAGTAAAGCAAAAGTTGATAGTGGAAATGTTACACAAGAGTTAAAAAATGTTATTTTCTAAAATGCACCATTCATCGGCAATTTGAAATAAGCTTAATCGATAGAGGAAAGTTTTGATGCAATTCTATTAGCTGCCTTCATATTTTTTTTTTTCGTTAAACACGAATTTGAGGTATACTTCATACAATATAAAAACCAATGCACGTCATCGATGACGTAATAAATTTTAGACCGTCCCAGCTCCACACTGTTGCCAAATTTTGAAAATAATTGAGGAATCTCTGAAAGTTCCGACAATTGAAGCTACAGAAAAGAAAAGCAGCTGTATAGTATATCGTTGTGATGTTAGCCAAAAAGAAATACCAGTTAGTAGTAGGTATGTTTTATGTATAAGAATAAGCATGAATCTATTAACATCAGTTGAGTAAGGTTTTTAAAAAAATATTAAAATTTGTTTTATGGGATTATATTAATATAGCATGTAGAAGCATTATTATAATGTTGTAGTTATTTTAACTACTGGTGAGTTTACACATGCATGGATTTAGTGGCGCCAGTGGTCGCGCCAGTTCTATTTGCACGCCAGTAAATGTTTACACATTGTTTAAAAACCAACGTAACTGGCACGCCATTTTCATTTATAAAGTGTTTTTTACGGTAAGCACTATGTCGAGTGAACTTTCTAAAGCCTGTAAAATAGTCGCTAAACTTTTAATAGAAAAAAAGATAAAAGAATTACAGAAAAAGAAACGCAACCAACGAAAAGGCCGTGTTTGGGTTAAACCATGGATTGGTCGTCGACCTAATTTGGGTGCTTCTGCAAAACTTCTAGGAGAACTCGCAGCAGAGGATTCTGCAAGCTATAAAAACTATCTTCGAATGACAAAGCAACATTTAGATACTCTTCTGGATTTTGTGATACCACGTATTATAAAAATGAATACCCACATGAGAGATGCGTTAACACCACGATTCAAATTGGAAGTGACATTAAGGTATCTTGCAACAGGAGACGCTTTCGCTTCATTGCAATATTTGTATCGTGTCCCAAAATGTACAATTTCAAATTTTATCCCATAAGTTTGCCACGCCATTTATGATGCGTTAAATACATAATAATATACAGAAGAAAGATAGAGGTTGAACGTTTGTAATTTATGAAATAATAGACATTAACAATAATTAAAAAAATAATCATAATAATCGTCGTCCTCAAGTGAGGCATGCATTGCATGTGAAAGCAGATCTGTGTCAGTAGTATTGTTGTAAAACTGTAACTGGCCTTGCTGAGCATTATCGTCATCGTAAGAAAGGTTTGAGCATGGGTCAGCAGCTTATTCATAAGTACTTGATGAGGAAGATGAATAGGGTCGTGATAATTGCTGGGGCTGCCGGGTATGTGATAATCGTCGCTGAACAAGATACGATTGGATGTACTCCATCGATTCCAAAGCGATTGGTTCTGGTAGCTTTTTCAACGAAGAAGCCACCGACTTGCCAAAACAATCAAACTCATTGTCCTCTTCTCTATTAGACGTTTGATCTAATTTTTGTGCGATTTCCTATAGCCCGTGTATAGCCTTATTTGTGCTACTTGTCCTTTTTCGAACCCTCTTTGGAGCTGTGTAGGTCGAGGTTAATTTTTGTGCGATTGGTTTTCTGGCCACGGATGACTCTTCCGAGGAAGATGGCACTTTGGCCACGGATGACTCATTCGAGGAAGATGGCACTATGTCGATAGTTGCTGACTGCGTATTTTCTAGACCAGCATCAAGTTCAGATTGTGATTCCGATTCAATTTCCTAGAATAAAATAAATAATCACCCGCTTTTTTTGTAATAATTAAAAAATAATTTAATACATTATTTTCAGGTGCCAAGCTCTGAACAAGAAGATTATTCAAGGATTTTCAACATGGTGGAATTCTTCAAATTTTTCTGGAGCCTTAGACGGAAAGCATGTTATATTACGAAGTCATTTTCATTCAGGCTCAGAATTTTACAACTACAAAGGAACGTTCAGTATTATACTGCTTGAATTAGTTGATGACCAATACTGTTTTGAATATATTGATGTAGGTGCAAACGGAAGGGGGGTATTTGTGAAAAGCAGTTTAAAGAGTGCAATAGAGGTTAATTTACTGAAGCTTCCCCTAAATACAGTGTTTTACTAAAACCTTATTCACACCATGGTCCCCTAACACAAAAAGAAAAAAAAATGATTATAGACTTTCGCGTGCTTGGCGTATCGTAGAAAACGCATTTGGATTGCTTGTGTCCCAGTTTCGTATATTTGAAAAACCAATTAAGTTATCTCCCGAAAAAGCTAACATTATTGTTAAAACCGCATGTGCGTTACATAACTGGTTGTGCAAAACATCTGATGGATATATAACCCGACACAGTGTAGATGATGAAGATTTTGAAAATGGTACAATAACAGAAGGTACCTGGAGACAAGAAATTCAAAGTCAAGGACTCAGAAATTTAAGATCAGCCGCAATTATTCTAAAAAAGCGATCAGAAATAAGTTGGCTGATTGGTTTATGGGTGATGGAGCTGTCCCTTGGCAAATGAAAATGATAAATATATAATCAATAGAATGTAAATAAAACTTACATGAATTTGTGTTACCTGAGTTTCTCTTATTTGCACAACCTGTTTTAAAATTCTGTCCGCTACTGAAAACCATAAAACTTTTGGTTTATACACTTCATCCGCACCTGCTCCCGAATGTTGGCTTTTCTTAATTTTTGTTAATTCCAAGGCATACGTATTTATTATAGAACGTATTTTTGCTTTTACTTCAGCAATTCCAAAGCCTTCAATATCCATTAATTCGGAAAGTTTTTGATAAGCGTTTTTACGACCATCTTTGTTTTTATAAGAACAGCCATAAACACGGGTAAGATTCATACCCTTCAAGAAATTTGATTGCCAGTTCTGCTGACCCCTTTTTTCAGATTCAACGCTGCTGAAATCACTATCATCGCTGTTTGATGTAATAATAATTGGAGCAATTTCTATTTTATCAATTATTCCCTCTCTATCGTACCATTTTGACATTTCTTTTTTTGTATGGCTGATACATTTTTCCAAATTTGTTGTCTCCTGACCACATATTTAAACAATCTTCTTTTTTTACAATCTCGACCAATATGTCTATTGTAATATTTCTTTGTAATGCCCCAAATAAGTTTAATTGGAAAGAATATACAATGATAAGGAGGGAAGCGTAATACTTTATGTCCGTATTGTTCTGCTAGAAGATCAGCCATGTAAATTTTTGGTGGTTTATTTCTAAAGAGTAATTGAGAAATTACAGACGAAACAGATTTCTTTTACTGACTGTGTAACAAGATTCAGAAGTTCCGCTATAAAGATAGCAAATGAAAATCTAATATTCTGATTTGTCAGCCACTCTTGTATTTTAATCTTTATCTAGCTAGCGTTTGGTGTTTTATGTAACAATGCTCATTATGATTAAGGAGGGTGCATTAAGTTTTTTCAGTAACTGTTCTTGAAACCATTTAAAAAATTATCATTATTCATTTCACCATCATAATCACTCAGTTTACTTTGTGACGCAAATATAGCCTCTGCTCCTTCAATGAACCCATTTTCATTTCCATCATTGAGTATAATGTACCTATAAATAAAAATTTCTACTGAAGCATGTAGTAATTAATTACGTACCTTTTATCATTAAATTTTGTGGTTTTCACACTTCTTTTATTTTTATCTTGCCAAGAACGGTTTATAGTCCCATTTTGAAAAATCCACGTCTTATCAATAAAAACAAACTGAAATAAACCTCTTTCCTTTTCTTGCATGTAATTTCTTAAAAATAAAGCTTGTTTCACAGCAACATCGGAAAGTTCCATAAGCTCGTCTTGGATCATCTTTTTTCCATTTAAAACCAATATCTTTCAATAAGGTGCATAATGACATACGCCATCTATTAAACAATTCTTTTTTTTAAAATTTTCTAATAAAGAATCCAAAGTTACGTGTTCGTCTGCAAACAAATATATAGGTATTTATAATTAAAAGATATAAAATGAATAATCTACACTTACTAGCTTCATACATGTTGTAAATAACATCTCGAATTGTACTTGTATCTAGAGTTCTTCTATTAGTTACTTTTATTAATTAGCAGCTTGAGAAATAGCACTTACAGTGAACAAAGTTAAGTCCTAAAAAATTAGATTAGTTTGATGTTTCTAGACAATATCAGTAAAAACTTACTTCTCTAACAGTAGTTAAAAGTAGTAAAGGACCATTGTTATCGCGTTCTTGTTCAAAATACTGTATCAATGAAGCTATGAGTTCCTCACATCGGCTTATTTTAAACCTGCGCGGAAGACAATATGGTTGTTCTTAAAAGAACAGTTTTTTATAACTAAAAATAATGACCAAATAAGCAAAAATAATAACGAAACGGCCAAAAATAATAACGAAATAACAAAAAAATAATAAATAACTCAAAATATCAACAAATACGCTAGTTCGGTGTGATGTAATTTTGGTTCCACTGACATTTAATTCTAACCAAAGTTTTAACAAAAACGTCAATAAATTTGACATACGTTTTTACCGTTTCTGGTTTTATTTCTAAATAATTGTTTGCGGGTCATGAAAAATAGTTTAAAGATATGTAATTGGTAACTAAACGATTGTATACTTACTTTATGAATATATTTATAGAAGTGAAAAAACGATATAACTTAGGTAAACAAAACGAGCAAAACGCACTCAAAAAATCTATTGTCACTTTAATTAGGCATTCCAAACAAATGAATTACCAGTGGGCAGGTTTGGTATATCTAAATCATGAATAATGGATTACATTTAAATATTTTATGTCAAACACAATAAAACTAATATTTAAAAAACCCACCTATACATTTCTTCATAAATTGGCAGGCTTGGCGAGTACTACTTCGAATAAAAATAGCGTCCAAGTTGCAAGACTATGTCGCTACCCCCTTAAATATACAAGAATTTCCCACTGGCACCTATTGTTTGACAGGTCGTTGGAATGCCTAATTAGGCATTCCAAACAAATGAATTACCAGTGGGCAGGTTTGGTATATATAAGGGTGGCGACATATGGTGTATTCTATCTACTTTACGTAAAATCATGAATAATGGATTACATTTAAATATTTTATGTCAAACACAATAAAAATAATATTTAAAAAACCCACCTATACATTTCTTCATAAATTGGCAGGCTTGGCGAGTACCTACTACTTCGAATAAAAATAGCGTCCAAGTTGCAAGACTATGTCGCTACCCCCTTAAATATACAAGAATTTCCCACTGGCACCTATTGTTTGACAGGTCGTTGGAATGCCTAATTAGGCATTCCAAACAAATGAATTACCAGTGGGCAGGTTTGGTATATATAAGGGTGGCGACATATGGTGTATTCTATCTACTTTACGTAAAATCATGAATAATGGATTACATTTAAATATTTTATGTCAAACATAATAAAAATAATATTTAAAAAACCCACCTATACATTTCTTCATAAATTGGCAGACTTGGCGAGTACTACTTCGAATAAAAATAGCGTCCAAGTTGCAAGACTATGTCGCTACCCCCTTAAATATACAAGAATTTCCCACTGGCACCTATTGTTTGACAGGTCGTTGGAATGCCTAATTGAAAGTGGAACCATAATTACATCATCACTGAACTAGCGTATTGCAATTACAAGACACAATAAATATACGACAACATTGAACTTAAAATGACAGTTTATAAAAAAAATACCAACTAAACTTAGCTGTCACTATATAATTGAAAACTTATAGGCCTAGAAATTCAATGTTATAGAATTAAAAATAACGTTTTCTAACCACAGTAAGGATGTTAAAAACAATTTTATACTTGTAATAGTTTATCTTCAATAAATAAGAAAAAGAAGTAAATGAATATTTATCGTCATGATATGATAGAAAATAAATTACGAACTAAAAAATACGCACGCCAATTCAACTAGTGTTCAATCAGACCTTCAAATCGTAGTATTTTATTTGTTGGTATTACTGCAGTAGAGGAACTACGTGCATTAGTTTTTGTATTGTATGAAGTATAAAAACAGGATTTGTTTCATTCATATTGAAAAAAGGTCATAACTATCCATTTAACGTGGAAGTTAATCCTATACGAAATTAAAGAAAATAAAATTTCCTACATTTGCATAGCTTAATTTAATTCCACCCAGTAGTTTGAAATGTGTCAATTTGCTATGATTTACGGCCGCTCATAATCCAGCCCCATTGGAAAGTGCTCTGTGACAACACTGCATTTGAACAAGAATATATACCTACACACGATAAATTCTTGCAGAATGCGGTAGAAGAAAGATACGATTAGAAGATTACTCAAACGTCTCATTATCCGTGATATATTAGAATAAATCGAGTCATTAATATTCTCGACGATAGAACCTAGACGTTTTTGGTCCCCGGACCAATTTTTTAAATGGTTCTTCCATGATCCAGGAAGACGTATGGTACCCAATAATTTCGATTTTGGACGTGGGTTCTTATAAATAAGTACATGATTGTTTAGTTACATCAGAGATCAGTTGGCGATGGTAGGCCAGTCAATAAAAATATTCTATTTCGAAAATTTCACATTATTTACAGAAGTTTTCAAACTGTAATAATAATTGGTTAGTTTAAATAACACTAATTTTTAATTTGCAACCATTTACAAGATCCGGAACTCGTTAATTTATAGCAAAACGGCGTTTTTTTATAATTTTGAGAACAAAAATCAAAAAGTGCTGCAAACGTGAAGCATTATATATTATATCGGGTCGGTGGTGTAGCGGTCTAACGCGCTTATATTCATTTATAAGCAAGTTTATGTGTCAGAGACTGCTGGGCTTCGAATTCCAGACCAGACCATGTGGATTTTTAATTAAATTGCATGGTTCGGTATAGGATTTGATGTGTGCCGTAATAATAGAAATTTAATTTCTGTTGATATGACATGCAGATTATAAAAAATAGCCATACATTACCGTCTCGATGATGGTGGGTGAGGTTTTCCGGGTTTTCCTCACCTGTAAGTCAAATGGCACCATTAATCATCTTTAAGTCGCCCCGGGGCGCCACGGCAAATAATAATAATAGCCGTCCCTTTCCCCGCACAAGCTCAGCTTTTGGGATTAAAATTCACTCGTAAGGGGGGAATTAGGGAAAGTATTATTATTATTATTTTCAACATTATACTACATTTGAACATGATATTTTTGTAAAATAGTGTTTTTGTTTATATCATAGATAAAAAAAATGCAAAAATGCTGCAAACCGATGACATAATTCGTCAACTGTATTTCAAAACTACAATAGACAGTCCGGTTTGAACCAAAACAAACCCTTATTATCAAAATGGCCTATTTACAACGGTATTGGGTTAATTTCTCATTCTCGGCCCAATTATTTAATAAGGGGTAAATATAAGGGATAGTGGGGGAATTGTGCGCGTCGGGTAATCGTGCGCATCAAACTATTTTATATCTCGCGGGCTTTTAAGCGCAATCGACTAGTGCTGCGCTCTCTCCTTTCTACTGTGCATCACTGACGTCATTTCTCACATCAGTTGTTTACGTTTGCACGGAACGAGCCCTGTTTATTTAAAATCCAGCCAGTTTCTGTAATTTTTTGACATTGGAAAATAAGACGGTAAGTCCACCTTTTTTCCTTAATCGAGAATATATATTTATTTTATGGAAAAGTATGATCTTTTGCATCTATTGATGCTTTTTTACATTGTTAGGTTATGTAGTTTGCTAACTGTATTACAGATTGTCATTTAATGTCTAAATCTAATTTTAAATATATTTTTTTTTTCAGATGCCGAGAAATTATACAAGGAAAACTTTCATATATGGAAGGAGATTTACAAAACGCATTATTTGCGATAAAAAATGATGGCAGAAAAATAAGGGATGCAGGAAGGGCCTTTAATATTCCTGAATCGACACTCAGAAAAAAACTGTCAGAAAATGAGCCGAAGCCTCCTCAATTGGGTTGCAA